GGGGTCCGCCCCTGCCGAGAAGGGGTGGTGGGAGCGAGGAGAAGAGCCCCAGGAAAGGAAAGGGCAGCCCTGAGCTGGGCTGCTGCTCCCTCCAGCTGCATGCAGCGACCCTGGAGAGAGGGGAGCAAACGGGGAGCAAACGGGGAGCAAACGGGGAGCAAACGGGGAGCAAACGGGGAGCAAACGGGGAGCCCAGCAGCCTTCACAGCCCTCCCGTCCCCGGGCGGAGGCCAGCGATGGGAGATGGCATTTCGCCTCACTGCCTCCCTGGTCATCCCCTGCATTAAGAGCCACGAAAAAGCTGATGGGGTCCAAGGCAAGAGCAGCCTCCCATGCCCCAGCACCACCTTAATCGAGCCCCAGGCCGAGCTCCCCTGTTCTCCACCTTAAGATGGCCCGTGGGGCTGCTGCCAGCTCCCGAGATGCACCGGGCAGGCGGCCGTAACGCCCCGCCTTGGACATTCCCGGTGCCTGGAGCAGCGTGGCAGCGATGCCATCCCAGGGGACCGAGCCCTTCCGCTCAGGAGATGCCTCCCCACCAGCTCCGTTGCATCCCAGCCGGGAGCAAGACGCAGGATGAAGCCCGTTCCCCCTCCTGCCGTGACTGCACCCCGCGGCTGCAGGGAGGGACGCGCTGGCAGAGCAGCCCGGGCGTCCCCACCCAGCTGTGACGGGGCAGCGGGATCCTGGGATCTCCCAGCCCATGCGGCAACGCTTCCCGCCCAACGTCTCCAGCGGGATGGATGGAAAATATGGCTAACCGCCACGGTTTGAGTCATGCCGGTGCCAGGGCTGGGAGGGCACAGCGTGTGCCACGGGCAGGCGTGTCAGGCACACGCGAGCTCCTGCATGAAGATGCGGGATGCTGCTACGAGGCGTGGGAGGTTGCACATGTGGCTGCTCCAAAGCCCACTTCCCACTCATGGACATGCTCCTAGAGCTGCCCCCAGTCTTCTCGGGCCAACTGAGGATCTGGGGGGCTTTTCATTTGTCTGTGCTGACACAGGGAAGAGGGCTGCGAAGAGCAGAAGCCGTGGGCACGCACTCCGGGCGTGTTCCGTGGCTCCGAGCTGCCAGAAAACCCCTCCTGGCCGGGGCCTGGGGGGCATCAATTAGTAGGGGAGCGGATTAGAAATTTGGGATGGAGGCCACAGCGACAGCAAGAGAGCAAAAACCCCTGCGCAGTCCCTGGTCCCCGATTAGAGGGGAAGCACTGCAGCCAGGGAAAACTGCTTTTGGGTAGCAAAGCCCCCCGTGTCGGGAGGGAGGCGGCAGCCCCAGCA